GGTAATTAACTTCTGTGTGGGCTTGCTCTCTGCTCACTTTCCATATCTGCCTCTGTGTCTCTCACATGCACACACCAGAATTTCCTAGTGCAGCAGGAGACTGTACTTCCCCTGATGATTCTAAATTAATCACTGATTTTGAACACCGTGCTACAGAAATGACTTCAGCATACTATAAACCAATGCACCCTTCTGATCAACTGGGCAGACATGGCATCAATGGCAATTCTGAACCAAGAGACAAACATTTTTTCCCCTGTGCAGTTCCTTTATTCTTTTTCCATCTGGTTCCCCTCTTTGAATACTATACATTTGGTAATATTTGAAGGAGAAAAGCTGTCACACTTTTGTTTGGTGCTTTGGTGTAGAAGAATGACTTGGGTAGTATTCAACTAGGGTTAAAAAAGCACTCATCTTCAATAATTCAAAAGATGTCAGAAGCATCTCCATGTTAGCAACAATAACATTCAGACAAAAACCAAGTGATATGACAGACAAACTAAGGGTCTTGCCTATCCGGCCTTTAGCCTCTCTCCTACCAGTAAAGTCACCTTCCATTTAATATTTACCAAACCCTTCATCTTCAGCCACAGGCATCATGAAAGGAAGAGCACCAACTCTGATTAGAAGGTCTGTATTTGTATTTAGTAAGACACAGTCCCAAGCTACATTTGCCCATAACCTTAGCACGGCCTACCTGGGTTACAACTGATCATGGGATACTAGAAGTTCATGAGATAAAAGCAGCCCAGTTGGCTGAGGTGGTGGGAAGGAAGGGAAGTCCAAGTGAAACCATCCCATTTTCTCCTCACTCCTATCTGCCCCATACTCCTGCAAGTGTTTGTATAGGAATGAGGAATGAGTGTCTTGTTTCATTTTGCTTTTTAAAAAGACTGTTTAATGAGAATGTCAGTCCAGACCCATTATTAGAAATTGCCTTGTGTAGTTCAAATGGAGTAAGAGCCAACGAACAGACAACAGGTCCTAATCTCAGAGCAGTAACAGGCCAGTAGAATGAGTCTCTATTCTGCTGTCCTTTCAGTTGCACCCCACATTCTTTAGTCCATCTTCTTGCGTTTCCTCTGGCCCCTAGATGGTTTGTAGGAGGGTAAGGGCACAGAGAGGATGCCAAATTTGTGATCCTCATCAGCTCCAAGTCCAGAAAGCCCCTTTTTTTTGGAGATCTTCAGCCTCATGGCTTTAGCAATGTCGAGCATTCTGAAAAAGGCAGAATCACATTCATCAGCAAATACAAGAAGGTTGCATGCATCATTCCTGGTGTCAGACTGAAGATCTGCAAGAGAACAAACTGGCCTCTCCCTCCAGAGAGAAGGCATCAGTAGCCACAGGCAAGCAGCAATGTGGCCCTATGGCTGTTTTCTCTGAAGCAGTGATGGCTCTGCTGTGCGATGAGGGATCCATTTCTAGAAAAGTTCAGGGTGGCCACAGCTCAAGGATTTAGATGAAACACAGCAAGGGCATGCTCTGGGGGACACCAGGCTTGCTATGCCTCCCACCAGGCAACAGTTTTATCCTTTTCCTTTATTTAGGGTCTCTTTTACACAAATGGGATGACATTATACAATTCACACTAGTTTGGTATTGGAGGGACAAAGGGACCCCCCACTGGTAGTTCTAAAAGGAAAAATAGGAGCAAGAGCTGACCAGCCTAGAGAATACTTGGGGGCTGTTTGGTAAACATGTCAAGGGTTTGTTCAGAAAATTATCTTGCTTTTTAGTATAACAGTCAGAACAAGTGCTCCCTCATCCCACAGCTGAGGGGGCATGTGCAAGCAAGTAACACAGCCACCTTGTTATCAGGAACTACAGAATCTTGCCAGCACACATTAGACCACATTTTGACTTCCCACTGGAAGCCACCAGTGCAAGCCAGGTGGCCCATGTTCCAACACACAGCAGTCAATGAGAAAATTGAAATAAAGCCATAAAAGGCAGCACAATCTTTCCAAAAGCCTATTGCTTCATCTTTAAAAACAGGGTCTAATTGACTTCAAACACTGCCATTAAAGCCATTATCCCACATCAGTTCTAAAGAGCAAAATTATTGGAAAGTGCATGACAGTTCACTGCAGCAACATGTACAATTAAAGCATCAACTGTAAAGCTGGAGACAACAAACAGGTCAAAATCCTTTACAATTTTCATTGGAATTTCATATATTTCATAGACATTAGGGCTGGAAGGGATCTCGAAAGATTGAGTCCAGCCCCCCGCCCAAAGGGCAGGAAGTCAGCTGGGGTCATAGGATCCCAGCAAGATAAGCATCCAATTTACTCTTGAAGGTGTTCAATGTAGGTGCTTGAACCACCTCTGATGGCAGGCTATTCCAGACCTCGGGGGCTCAGACAGTAAAGAAATTCTTCCTTATGTCCAGCCTGAAACAGTCTTGCAGTAGTTTATAACCAAACGTTCAATCTCATCATCCCTTGGGGCGCTCTGGTGAACAAATGTTCCCCTAGATACTGGTAATCACCCCGATAAGCTTATAGGTGCCATCAGATCACCCCTGAGCCTGCGCTTTTCCAGGCTAAAGAGCCCCATGGCTCTCAGCCTGTTGTCGTAAGGTCTGTTTTCCTGACCTCTGATCACGTGCGTGGCTCTCCTCTGCACTCTCTCAAGCTTCTCCACATCCTTTTTGAATTGTGGGGCCCAAAACTGGACGCAGTACTGCAGCTGCGGCCTCACCAAGGCCGAGTACGAGGGGACAATGATGTCCCAGGATTTGCTTAAGAAGCATCTATGGATGCAAGCCAGCGTTTTGGTCGCTTTACTAGCCGCAGCATCGCGTTGCAGGCTCATGTTCATCTTGAATTTGGTTTGTGTGGTCAGAAATAATTTTATTACTTATTTATTATTATATAGTATTATATTAATTTCATAGGATTTTGTGACGAGGGCTAATTCATTTCTTGGGCAAGTAGTTCATTCTGAGGAATACAGATTTTGAGATGGATCTCATTGCTGCATTAGTCAAACTCTCAGTTGAAGAACTGAAAACAGGCTCTCCTTCCATGCCGCCATCCCACTTGCCCCTCTTCAACGTTGCAGGTCTGCAGTCATTAACTGCACCAGTGCTCTCACCTGCTCTCATGGAGTTTCATGTCCCTCTGTAAGAGTGTCAGGTCTGTCTGGAAGCTGTTAATGTGCAAGGCCAGAGCTACGACATATGCTGTGATTTTAGCCTTCATCGAACCAGAGATTAAATTCTGGATCCTGGAGAATAAAGTCACAAAGGAGGAAAAATTTAACAAAGCCAAAGCATAAACCAGTGGGGACTGTGTCTGCAAACAGAATGTACACAGAACTGGAATCAGACCCCGGGAAAATGCGGCCAGTTTTGCCTGCCACAACTTTGAAAGTGTTGTAAATGCTCAAGGGTGTCTGGCCCTAACTGGCCTGCAGAACAACTTTTTAAGTGGAAACCACATCTGTTCGTCCACAAGTCACTTTTACTAAAATTAAGAGTGAAGGTGAAATTACTGTATTTATTCACATAGCACGCACACCCTGCTCCCAAACAGCCCTCCAAAATTGGTGCGAGTGTTTTAAGTGGGGAAGTTGATTTTTCTTCACGGGAATAAAAGCATGCACATACTGTGCTCTGATGCTACTAAGATGGTTACCTTTCATCTGGCCATAGCAAGCAGAATGGGTGGAGTCCCGTGTTAACCCATGCACAGCTCTCTACAGCTCTTGGCCAAGAACTGTAGCTTGTGTCTGAAGCAGCAACTGAACCAGCTGAGGGCTAGTGAATTGCTGCATGCATTCTGTAGCATCTTGAAGAGGCTTGGTATTATTTACAGGAACTTACATACGAAGAGCTGTTTATAGCAAAGAATTAACAGTCTTGCTACTGCTTTTGCAGGGGTCTACAGCCTACACTTGTTGCTGTCCAGCCACACCAAAAAGTTCCTGCTGCCTTAACCAGACTGTCTCCTGGGATGCTATACTTCCTTAATATCCTGTTTCGAGAAGGACTACTTTATGTCACACAGTCAGCCATGACTCTGGAAAAATCTTTTCTCTACATTCTGCCTTCCAAAAACAAGGTATGTCTTGTATTTGTAGGCATCTGGTATGCAATGCAATACAGTGATTGCTTTCCAGGTGTCAGGGACCTTCTGGAAGCCTTTCAGGATGCAAAAGACTAACTATTCCTAACAGAAATGTTTGGATTGAAATGGCTCTGTTTATTTGGTATTTCCTTGCACAACAATGCAAAGGTTATGAAAGGACAACCATGCTGTTATGGGCAGGACAAAAAGTTGTCACATTCTCAATGGTTAAGAGAGTTTTTGTGCAGAACATGGGAAATGTTAAATCCAGGGCAGTATTCTGGCACCGCCTTCTGGCAACAGCTCAGTTGCTGAAATGTTTAGCTGTGGCAAGTGGCAACAGAACCCAGAGGGAGCCACGGCTCTGACAGAAGACCTTTACTGCTTTGATAAAAACAACCTCTCTGTTCTAACAGCAAGCTGGGAGAGGCAGCCCCAGCTGGGAGATCTTGGAACCGCAACATGGAGTGGAGCCGCAACACGGAGTGGAGCGGTGGTGAAGAGGTGCACCTTGTTAATGTAAGCCTGATGATCTGAAACCAGCCTGTACAACTGAGGCCAGCACTGAACAGAACCTAGTTACTGGTGACATTTCTCTCAGGTTTTCAAACAATTTTAATTTAAAGAAACACTGATTTTGAAACACAAGTCCAGAGTCTCCTTACACACCAGACTGACTCCTCTGACCTCACTCAGGGAGCTGAGAATAATTTTTATACAGATATAAGAATCACCTTTCTGCACTAAAATCCAAAGGCATTAAACAGAGAAGACACCAACAATTCAGATTCCTACAAAGGGCATATGGCTCAAGAGATGCTTTCCCTGTCATGTGTATAGTGGTAGTTTTTTCACTTGAACTTTCCTGTCTACCCCTCAGAAATATGTTAGAGAAAACCCATTCTCTACCTGCCACTGTTGTATGTTAGTGCACTGAAATTTTTCGTGAGTTTTTTGTTAATGATGCGTGGACAATCAGGCCCCATCGGATCTAGAACAAAGACAATTTTTTCAATGAAGTGATAAATACAAGCAGATTCACAATCATTTTAAGAATTAAAATTAATTAAACAATACCATGCTGGTTTCATACACCTCTTAAGAATACATATATCAATATTTGGACCAACTTGTTAGAGCATCTACAGTAAGACTCAAAAGCAGCTTAGGCACAGTGCGCCAATATCCTATGGGTAGGGACTTACCAAATTCACAGTAGAAGTGGGGTGCACTGTGGCTCCTTTAATTTTGCAGACTCCCCCGCACACCCCTCCACCACTGATTGGTGGAGAGGCCATGCTTGCAGTTCACTCCCAATTGGCAGGGAGGCAAAAACTGCAGTTTTAAATATGGCGCCGTTTTAGCCTTCCGCTGCCGACTGGCTGAAGGGCCCCAGAAGCCCTAATGCTTGCTGCTGATTGGCGGAGAGGCAAAAAACACACCATATTTAAAACGAGATTTTGCTTTCCTGCCTATCAGGAGGGAGTTGTGGGTCCCCTCTGCCAATCAACAGCGGGGGGGGGGGGGGGGGGGGGGGGG